GAGGTAGTAAAAATTTTAAGTTCGGTTTCCTCTTAGCCTTTCCATATCGCGCACAGTTTATATTGGTAAGGATCAATGCATGTTTGTCCTTTCAAAAGCCGCTCAGAGCTATGAAATTCCTGTGCTGCGAATTTACTGGTTAGCAGTAGTATTTCGTTCATGACAATGCCTGTATTAGTTTTTCTGCGCCTTATCCAACACGTGTGCACATCATCTTTTCAGAAATTTTTCGGAACAGCTGGTAAAAATGACGCATTGGAAAGCACGCTACTGTCTTGCAGAAGGCCGAGGTTCGACTCTGCCAGTGGAGCAACGGACCCCTCCCCTCCTTTCCCTTCCCCTTTTCCCCTTCCCCGCAGTTGGTCCATTCATTTCGATGGTAAACTGATACTGGCATACAGCACGTAATCAAACAGCTTGCTTCCTTCAAACGTTGAAATCATTAGTGGCTTTGCCAGAGAGCAGTTGCTGCTCGCACTTGCCGCCCTCAGAATACTTCCGAGTGCCTCCACCGCTCATAAAGAGTGAATACGGTGGACATTTGGCTTTCGATTAAATGAAAGAAGAGCAGATCTCAAATCTCTGCACATGCTGATACTGAAAGAAACCACTGTGACAGAAATAACTAGTCAGTTTTGAGTTTTGTTCAATAATTATTGTGTAAGCTGCAGTGAGAGGAGACAAACCGCATCCTGAAGAAGTGGCACTGGAGAATGAGGATAAAACACAAATGAATTGATACATGAAGCTGCCAAAGATTTTCGACAGCGTGCACGACGATTGCTAAACCAGACCTAAATACAAACTTCTTTTGAAAAAAAAAATTGAGGAAAAAGAGATATGACATCTGAGGAAATGTGAGGTTAAGTTGTTCATACACTGCAGATTAACTCTCAAAATTCATTTTGCGCTACCAGTTATTCTAGACGACAAAGACAAGCAGGGTTGCTGCAAGCGGAATAAAGAAAGAAGGCAGAAATGAGAAGAGACACGAGTTAAAGTGCAAAACTAAGAAGTTTGTGTGCGTCGCCAGTTTAAGAATTAAAAGCAACCTGTATTTTACCCTCATCCAATTCGGTGGCTGCAGCGATGCGTTCTCGAACTTCTTGGCCTGGATAACTGTTAGCTTTGAAAGCCTCTTCCAATATGTTTAATTGTGCTTGCGTAAAACTTGTTCTGTTTCGCCGTGTCCTATTCATTAGATCGTTACGACAACTTTCTTCCATAAATTCGCTTTCTGTACAGCCAATTCGTTCTGTAACGCTCGGGCTGTCAGTATGAATGAATGGATCAAACAGATCGTCGTGAGACCACGAAAAGAGGAAATGAGATAGATTGTGAAACGCATATGTATAATATACAAAGTTAAGAAGATGTACGGAGGACATGTAAGGAAGGTAAATGTGAAACTGGCTGTCTGTGTTTCATCTCTAAGCTGCAAACACAGACAGTATACGGTGTGGATTGGGGTGGGAATCATCAGTGCATCCCCCAATCCACCATTTGGAAATTTTGATAACACGAATGCATGGTAGGAGAAGAGCAAAGGAAAGAAAGAAGATAGGGAAGAATAGAAGGTGGAAGGATAAAGAAATGAGGGGAG